CGGACCAGGCAGAAAACGGTTTACGTGTAGTCCTCTGGCCGCATGTGTAGCGGGATTGGATGCACGTAGGGGATTTGTGAACAGTCAGTATCCGATGATAGGAGCGTTGACTCTATGTGAGATGTGAACCAGTGACCTGTTATAGGATGGCTATTTACCTGACCTCGTTTCTTGACTAAGTATGAGTTCTTGTGAGATATAGGTTAGTTGTGTTTCTTTTCATACATAGATCGGAATTAATATTTAATTATCTATAATTTGAGACAAATGGTATATACATGAGGGTTTCCTTGTTTGGATTATTTCGGTCGACGTACTACGTCTCATATTGTAGATTTTTAGATATTAATTCCATCTATTGTATGCCCCTGTTACTTGGATGATTTCTGATCGCTAGCCGCATGATCTCGTTACCTGATCGATTTTGGATGCTTTATGTTATCATGATTTAGTAGTGTTTTCATGTTGATTTGTGGATTTTAGTTGTACGTTCTTTTGTTGTTTCTGTTATCGTATCGTTTTTCGCGTTGGATTTCCGTTCGTTCTATTTTCTTTGTGGGGTCGAGTCTTGCTGTGTGCCATACACGCTGAGTACACCTGTTTTCTCTGGTGTACGTCAGACTTAGAGGAAGAACAGGTTTAGCTGGAGCCAGAGGATTCTCAGCAGGAGTACCCTGTGGACAGAGCAGAAGAAGGAGTCGAAGGTTATTCTTTCCATTTATTAGTTGATGGTTCCGTTTACTTTTGTAGCACCTTCCATTCTGTTGATCGATGTATTTTATATTTCCTAACATTTCTTTCAGATAGTCTTGTATAAGGGCATGTTGACCCGAATATTATGTCTGGGATGAATATTCATTGTGATATGTATTATTTTATTCTGAGTTGTCTATTATATTCTTACTGATTGTGATCGGGGACCTGTGCCTTTGCATTGTATTTATTTTCAGATGCTTAGCGTATTGGATTGAGAAGAAAAGAAAAAGAAAAAAATGGTAGTGTATATTTCTTCTCAATCTAATACGTCGCGGGCTTGTTCATGTTCCTATTCTCGTGTATTTTGGAAGCGGAGCATGACAAAGACCCCGATGGTGTCGGTTCACGCTCTAGCCTCAGCGATGTCTGTTGCTACTCCCATTGCTGCGGCTATCAGTGCTTCGGCCCCGGCTTTGGTGACGGCATTGGTGGATCGAACCGTCGCTAGCCTCCAAGTTACCCTTGCAGACAGCATCCGACTCGCATTGGAGGAAAGCTGCCCTTTTGAGGAATTCAAGGAAGCCCTGGAATATCATATGGGCTTTTTGATCAAGGCTCTGGGTCCTTCTGCCGCCAAACCGTACTTCAAACGTCTGGAGCAGGCAGAACGGGTCGTCGGACAACTGCTTGCCCTTCGTATCATGAGCTCCGAGATCCTCCAACTTGCGTCTGGCGAGGTCCAGATAGCATTCGAGGAGCGCGATCATAGACTGGAGGAAACAACATCGTTGAAGGCGAGGTTGACGAAAGAGCTGGAGCGCGCCGCAGTCGAGAGTGAGCGACTAAGCTTGGCGTGCCAAGACGCCTATCTTCGGAGATAGCGGGGACCAAACAAATCATTGCTAATGCGCAGGCCTTATTGGCTACCCAGGAGAAGGCTCGCGAACAGGTGATAGGGGAGTTCGGGGAATCGAGTCGCGCCAGCAGGTGGTTATTGACGCTATTGAGGAGAAGGGTCGAGCCCTCAAGGCGGCGAAATGCACCGTCCAAGACTTGCTTTCACGCTCTGAAGCGGACATTCGTCGAGAGATCCTGAGGAGACTCGAGCTCAAGCGCGCCGAAGAGATTCGCGAGTTGGAGTTGCGGTTGAGAGATTTTTAATATGCTTTTGATTATGTTGTTGTACCAGAATCTCTTTTAATGAATAGAATTGTGTTTTCATCCCAGTCATTGCTCCTTTTATTCTGTGTGTGCATTTTGTCGTTGGTCACAGCGGAAGTTGTCAAATCAACCATTGGTTGACTCGTATCTGGTGGGACTGCAGGCGAATCTTCAGCCTTAGGTGGGACTACGAACTATTTCAATCTTTGCCTGAGTCCTAACTGGGTTCAATCTTCAGGCGAACTCAAAAGTGGTTCAAACCCTAACTGTGCCTGAGCCTCAGGCAGATTGCAATAGCGTGCGGGTCTGAGCCTTCGGGCGAACTTGATATAAGCAAGTTCGCCTGACGAATTCAATTCGTGGGCGGACCTTGTTTTTTCGTAGGCCACGTGTCTACTAATTAAGACGATGTGGGCACGTTTACCCCCACTAAAGGTGGCTGTAGTGGGGGTTCTCTATTCTTCATGCCCAACCTGAGCCGTTGGCCAGAGATCGTGTTGGAAACCGACGTATCTCGACCGTTCGCGTGAGATTTGGTATTCCCTTGCCTTGTTTGTGACTGTTCGATTTGAACGGCCAATCGAACGGCGTGCATTCACCCACGCCATGTATTTAATGCCTCTCCCTCTGCATTGACGGGTGCCGTGGCTTTAGTTGCCTTTTCCG